CGTGCGGGGTCGGGGGCGCTGCCCCTGCCCGGGGAAAACCCCCGGGGTCGGCTCTCTGGAGCCCTGCTGCCCCTGCCCCTGCTGGCCCAGGTCGGGGTTGGGGCAGCATCGCCGCGCGTCTGTGAGAATCCCTGTGGGAAATGAACTGTCCTTATTCCAGAAAGTGACCTAAAGTAGGAACTTCGTGTATTTTTGGATGTTGATAGCGAGCTGTTGGTACCAATACTTTGGGAACGGCAGATCTAGAGGAAAGAGCCCTTTTCTGCAAGGATGCTGCCATGAATTTGGAAAAGGCTGGAGGAGAGCCATGTAGGAGATACTCAAGCCCCTCACTCCTAGATAGGAAAGCACGTGTTGCAGAGGTGGCTTCAAAAGCAAAGGTGGGGCCACTTTGGTTTCCTTCTGGCTGGGGGATGTTGCCCCAGGGTGGTGCTGCCCACCTAGGAGAGGAGCAAAGGGACACTCCGTGAATCGCTGCTTGGTGGCAGTGAGTTAATCCTTCCCAACAGGTCGAGTGTGAATGAGGTTGGGTTTAATGCCTTCAGATAGTACCAGGGCGTAGCTGTGTAACGAGGAGGTTGCTCATAGAGAGGTGCCCTGCAATAATTTCCTGCTGTGACCTGCCCGTGGGTACGCCTGATGAATCCAGCGAGAGCACCCTCATCCCCTCGTGTACTGCTAGCTATAAACAGTGTGAGCTCCCAGAGCAAACGGGCTGCAGGTCCCTCTGCAGAACGCTGTGCTGCTCCCCGGGGCTCTGTTTCCCCCATTTCCCAGAGTGGCTCCTCTGAAGGCAGCTCCTGGAGTCAGGACGTTCTGAGAGCTGCACCTGGCCACATGGTTGGTGCTGTAGAGCAGCGTCAGGTGAGACCTGTGGGCTGCACTTGTGGGCATGTCTTGGGCTAGCAGATCCTCTTGCATGTAAATGTGAACCCTGACAGCTCTGTACCAAGGGCTAAATGTGTTTTCTTGGAAGTATACTGAGTTGTAACATAAAAGGGATTATTTTTGCTTTTTTACAGAATTCCGTGTTCTCCCCCAGCCCTGTTCTCTCCAGCTGCACTCCAAGGTTGTGTCCTTTATCCTTTGGCGAAGGAGTTGAGTTTGACCCTTTACCACCAAAGGAAATAAGGTAAATACTGTGTTACAGTCTTCTAGTTTTGAAGGAGTTAGTCTGTGAAGGAGTAGTTAGGCCTTATCAGTGCCTGTGAGTCAAGTTAATTTATTTGCAGATCCATTGTTCCACACAGCTGTACATTCCTGGACTTGGACATTTGTACAGGCTGAAGGAGTGTTCAGCTTCTTTTAATCCTGTATGGGTTTTTTCCAGGAAGACTTTTCTGTATTTTTCTATCCTGCCTTAACTTCATTGAGCTGCTCCAAAATGTTCCCTTTCAACCGGTTAACCAGAAGGAAATCATGAGGGAAGCTCTTCATAGTAGCTATCTTTCTAGGACTGTTTTATTAGGGGGAAAGAATTTTGCCCTCGTAACCTGGTGGTTTTATAATAAGCACTTTCTGTCTTATCAGGTGGCTGGTTGTGTGAATGAAAAGAAAAGTTGGTATTCAGAGAGTGCATAATTACTTTTCTTAATGGGCTGCATCACTTCATAGCCTGTGAATTATTCCTTTGAACATCATGATTTGCAGTAATGAGAAACAAAGGCTCCCAGCTGATTACTGTGCAAGCAGAGGTAGTCTGGTACAACCAAAGGGAAGCCCAGCACCGAGGAGGGGAGGAGGAGTTGGTGTCCTGATGTGGGGAGGGAGCCTGTGCCCTGGCTGGAGCTGAAGGTGGTTGGCACTGTGGAAAAGCTGACACGGAGTGGTTGCTGTGTGCAGGAGATGAAATCTTTCTTTTGCAGTCCAGGCACAGAGGATTTTCTTGCCAGCAGAGTTTCATGTGCAAATTGTAGTATTTTCCTGTTAGCTGAATCTTCAAAAGTTTGCCTTCAGAGGGTGCCACATGTTGGGAGTGATAGCAGAGGACTCCTGTGTGACTCTTGGCAGAGGAGAACTGAAAAAATAACGTCTGCTTCCATGGACTTGGCACTCCGAGGAACTGGGGTGCTTATGTGCAAGGCCTAAATGTGGATCTAGGTCTCTGGGCTTAGGCACTGGAGTTTGAAGAAGGTTCCTAGAGTTCAGGCTTGAAATGATGGAGATGAGGATGGAGAAGATGTTTGGCAGTGCTGCCAGCCGCACAAACGCGGTGTCAGCGCCGGGGGTGCTGCTGACGTAAGGCTTTTCCTCCTCCACGAAGGAGCAAGGCCCAGCAGACAGTTTCTGTGAGAGGTGTCTGTCCCCGTGGCGAGGTGGCCGGCGTGGGGCTGCGGAGCCGCCCCGGCACCCCAGGGCTCTGCTCTGCAGCAGATGCAGCCCTCTGTTCCAGGGCAGAGCCCACGCAGGTCTCTCTGTGTTCCAGGTACACGTCCTCGGTTCGCTACGACTCGGAGAGGCACTTCATCGACGACGTGTACCTGCCCGTGGGCCTGAGCGTCACCTCCTGCAGCCAGACGGTCGTCTGCGTCCCGGACTGCACGTGGCGCAGCTACAAGGCAGAGGTGCACCTGCAGCCCCGCCACAAGCCCCGGCGCTTCACCAGCACCACCATCATCTACCCGAAGCACGCCAAGACTCTGTACACCACCACGCTGGACTACAACTGCCGCAAGGCCGCGCGGCGGTTCCTCTCCAGCATCGAGCTGGAGACCTCGGAGTACCTGGGCAGCGACGGCCTCCTGGATGGCTGCTGACTGGCGGGCCCCCGGGTGCGTGCGCGCGGGCGCCCGCCTCTCCCCTGGCCCATCCCAGCCCCGTCTAACGAACTGTGCTCGCTCTCCAGTAGCTACAGGGGGTACAGACCCCAACTTTCCGGGCAGCCTAAGGGAACCTTCCCTGGCGCCACCTTTTCTCAGCTCTTAATTCCTGCTTTAAGCCTCAGAACGGCCTCGACGCGGTTTTCTGTGGGAACATAACTTAGTCAGGAACTTGTTTCTTCGCCTTTAGGGCCGTGAGTTGCCCCCTCCTTCCCCGCAGGGCAGTAATCAGATGAAAATAATGGGAGATATTTTCCCTGAGAAAAAACGGACAGGTAAGAAAGGATGTGGAATAGCACCTGGAAATCCACTTGGTCATGTGCAGAAGTCAGGGCGGTTTGCTCTCCCGCAGAGAGTCGCCGGGTGATGTGGTTACAGGTAGCCAGAGCTGTCATGCATTTCTGTTTAGATCGTGAGACTGTTTTCTCTAGAAGAACTATCTCCTGGAAACTGCTGGAAAAAGCTAACAGAGAAAAAGGTGGAATTCTGCATTTATCAGATACGAAAGCATTATCCCATGGCATTCATGTCTGGTTCAAAGGTGTGAGTTGGAAAGAGGAGTAAATCTGAGTGGAGCAGGAGATAAAACTGCTTGTGCAGCTCCAGGTGGCAGGGGAAGGATCAGGTAATTCGAGTTCTTTAGGTGAATGGTGCGATGGATCTTCCATACCTGTAGTGACTTCTACAGCCCTGTGGCCAGTGTAACAGGCTGGCACTTGTGTGTGTAGTTGGAGTCACGATGAAGAACATCAGGCCAAAAATTATCCCTGTGTTGTTGGAAAGTCAGGTCTTGACAATGTGATGGTGGAAAACCACGAGTGCCTTGTCTGTACCGACGCTGTACTGTCTGCACTGAGGCAGCAGTAACTGAAAAGCTTTGGAAAATGCACCATGTGAACTGGGACCTAGAACGGAGGAGGAGATGCTGGGATGGGGCGCGAGGTGCTGCCGTGGTGGGGTCACTAAAGAGGTAGATGGTAGCAAAGGACAGCAAATTTTTATTGCATAGCCAGAGCCACAGCTGTCGCTCCCCTTCCCTGCTGAGCTTCTCATTGCAGAGGTCCATGTCCGTGTCCTCTCTGGACTGTGGAATTCCAGGTGCCACTGGGATGGGGCAGCATCTGCCTGTCGGTAGGCTGCGGATTAACCCCTCCAGTCCCAAGTGCACAATGAGTTTGGGGACCAAAGGGCATAACTTCAGATACTATAAAAGTCCATCTGGAAGTTAGTGCGTTAGTTTATCATGTGCCTTGACAAAAATAGAGAGGTTTCTTACTGCACCCAGACAGGTTTTTTATGTATTGACAGAGAGCAGTGTAGCATGGAGAGCTTCTGCTTTTGGGAGTGTGGCTTATGTTGGTGGTTAGTGTGGTGCAGCAGCTCAGAAACGCTTGGTAGACTTGACCTAGCTGGACACAGCTTTTCCAGGTATTCCAAAACTCCTCCGAGGTGTGGGTCACCTTCTGGTGCAGCACCAGCCCTGGAACTCCTTTTAAAGAGGACTTTGCTAGTGCATAGCCCTGAGGTTGAATTTTGTCAGCAGCGAGTCAGAAGCTCAGGAGCCTGTTCTGGAGCTGCCCTTAACGTGTGTTTGTGCAAGTGTGATGATGAATGCTGTGGAAGTGTCCCCTAGAGTGAGCTGAAAGGGTTTGGGAAACTGAAAATGCAGCAGGAAGGAAGGCTTGAGTTTGTGTGGGTTGGGTTTTTTTGTTGTTTTGGGGTTTTATTTATTTGTTAGCTCCGAACAGCACAGCCTTAATCTTTAGTACTTGGGCTGAGAAAACCAGATCCTAAAACAATCCCCAGGGTGACAGAAGATGCCAAAGTCAAGCAGCCATCACTCCAGAGCTGCTGAGAGCAGCGTGGTCTTGGCGTTCAACATATTGTTCTCAGACTACAGTATTTAGGAGATGTACCTTCAATATGCCTTGTGATTCTCCCCTGAACGTTGCCCCAAAATCTTCTTGCTGTGGAGCAGAAGGCACAACTCAGCCCCTAAACGTGTGGGGTTTCAAAGGGCCAGAACTCTTCTTTGGGAAAGCTATTGCATTGTTGCTGGCTTTGCAGTTTCGTGTGCCTTGCTCCTGAAGCACCTGGTGCTGGCCACAGTGGCCACAGGACACTGGAAGAACAGGGACCTGGGATCACTCCGACAACGCCCTGCCAAGGAACTCAACTGCAGGACATCTAAGAGAAGATTATTTTAAGTTGTAATCGTTCATTGTCCCTAGTTAGCAATGAAATGACCCTTACACTATGTTTTTAGGATAAAGCATCTGATTTTTACAAACTTAATTATGTACCTCTTCGAAATATTTTAATTGGTAGAGATACCTTTTAAATTATTTATGTTCCGACATCTGCGAAGCTCAGATTAGCTCTGTGCAAGTGTTCTGATGTCTGTGATCTTTGCCATCCTCCCCTTCTAATTTTCAAATTGTCTTCTACTTTATTGGTAATAAATGATCTGAAAACCATCCTGTAAGGAAGTCCCTTTATTTTTTCAAGGCTTCTCAGTGTTTATTGTGCTATTTCCGTAGAAATAAATGCATAATATATCCTGGCAATCCCAGCTCCCCTTTTGCTTCTCTGACATCATGTGTTGCTGTTGTTTACATATTCTAGGAAGGCGTTTCCTATATAAAACTCAGTATTAAAAAAAACACCACCAAATGTTGTGGTTTTGTAAGTTTAGTAAGATGCTGAAAAAGTGCCTTGAAGACAGCTGAAAATCCTTTCCAGTTTTTGAATGTTTGAGTTCATCTGGCATAGTTTCATTTTTAAAGAGAGTTTCTGGTATGGGTTTGAGCATATCCTACAAGGGGAGCACTTGGCGTCTTCAGACAGAACACCTACTTAACCAAACAGGAATTTCTTTTTAATTTGGGTTAAAAACAGAGATGCACCACATGCTGCATGAGTAAATAGAGCAAAAAACAAGACTAGAATGTGTTATACATTAGACCTTAGTAAAAAAAATAGGTAGTTACAAACTATTGTTTTAAGAGAAATGCTACAGTGTTTTTCTGGATGCTTAATCTGTTCTTTAAACCTTTCTGAATGTGCAGGCCAGCTGATTTTCTTAGTAGAGTAGAAATGGATTCAACTGAACATCAGTTAATCCATAATGGGATTTTTTGCTTACTTTTATTGTTCATCTGGTTATCGGCTTGCAAAAGCTCCAGATTTGCATGTAATGACATTATTGGAACCTAGGGAGCTTTGAAGCTAGTCTGGAGCTTGCTGCTGCCCCCACAAAAAGGCTGCACAAGCATCTGAGCATCATGCAGTGTTTAAAGTATTCAACAAGAGAAAAACCTGTTACAGGAACATCAACTGCTGTGTCAAAAACAATCCTTGTGAAAAGCCATTAAGAAAAAACTTTAAAAATCAGATCAGTATCTTTCAGGAGAGCTTCAGGAAAAATTCACTCTCCTTGCAGGTGTGCCTTGGGTTGTTTTCCTCTAATAATAGTAGTGACACTCACTGTGAAAGAAGCTGCTTTACTGTGAGAAGTTGAAGCAGGGGAATACAAGGCACCCTACTGCTTGATGTGTTTTTTAATTCATACTGGCTAAATGGGCTTCATGTTAGTAGATGCCATGACAAGGATAAGCCCATTGCTACAGACACACTCCATTTTCCTTGTGCATCTCCCGTGCTTCTCCAGAATGTCAAATGCAAGGCTCTGGTACAAGGAATTTTTATAACAAAACAAAATACTGTACCTAACAATTGGATCACGAGCCAGGAGATGACATCTGGATTTCAATCCCGATTTTACAGCTCACTCAGTTTCAAGTAGGTAAGTTTGTGTGCCTGCAAATCATTTCAGCCTCCACACGAGGTATTTGGCTGCCCTCACTGTTTCCCCATCTGGTCTGAGGACCAGCAATTCATAGTGTGAATACCTGAGAAGCTCCGGTGTAATGCAGTGAGTAGTATTTAGAAATTAAATAATATTCAGGGATACTCCAGGACAAATAGATGGTATGGAAAGCAGCATTTTCAGTTGTTGACCGTGTCTGAGTTACATTCCTATTTTAGCTAACAGCTTGGTTTGAAAATATAAATATCCTGTATTCCACACAGGCGTGAGACAGCGAGTGGTCGGTGTTAAGCTACAGAACTTGAGAGATTTCGGGTGGCCCTGCTGGTTGCAGCTGGGGCTGTGCGAGCCTGTTCAGCATTCAGGACCAGTTGACACTTGTTCCTCTGGAAAATGACTGCAGCAATCTTCATCCCATCCTGCAGGGTGGCTGCGTGCACGTGATGCCCTGCGGCGAGGCGATGGGCACTGCTGGGCAGCTGGGCACAGCTCAGCAGGCCCATGGTCCTGGAGATACCTTTCATATCGTTTCCTTCTGTTCACCTTATAGACACGCAGCCTTTCCTCCTCTGCCACAGGGTCTGCAAGAATCCCATCCCATCGAAGGCTTTCCTCAAGCTGAGCAGAAAGACCGTGATCTGTTGGATCCGAACCCAGAACGGTGGTCGCTGATGCTAAAACCTTGTTTGTTTCTGCATCCTTCTGGTTCTCTTCTGTGGTATTTTGGGCTGAGTCAGGGATTCTCCCAGGACTTGGGATTTTGAGCATTGGAGGAGAGCAGGTCTGCTGCTTTCTGGCTTTGTGGTGGTGTTTATCTGTTAAAATGATGAATGCTGTTAGCAGAAATGTATTGCGTTGCCTCTGAGGCTTTCCTGCTTATTTCATAAAGAGGGTGATGAGACAAGTGCTTGCTGTGCTTTTACGTGCCCATTAATAAGAAACCAAATCTATAAGAAAATATTAATGTCCTGCCTAGTCTTATTTTTAAGTGGGAAATATTTACCTGATTGGCTAACATGCTTCTCACACCTGTAAAATGTATTTGTTGAGGCTACTAATGCATTAATAGCACTTCTACAGTGGCATCGAGTTCACTGTCCTAACAATT